GTCGTTTGAAAGTTTATTAGGCGGGTCCGAGAGAGAGTTTCTCGGCCTGCGGACACGATAGCGAGAGGGGGGGTGGGGCTGCATAAGAAGCTGCCTCACGAATTAAGTGGTTTGGGTGCGACTCTGAGGCTTTGAAGAAGTTCTCAGAGAGTTTTTTAAGAAATTGCTGAATTGTTGGGAGCTCTAAGTCCCGATGAAGGTCGGCATTGCGGACGTACCACGGTGCGTTCGCAGCTCGACGACAGAATAGGTTCTGAACTATTTGGAGTTCATTTAAAATGTTAGGGTTTGCGTGGGCAAAGACGGGGCCCGCGTAGGACATGACTGGTCGTATACATACCTTATAGAGTGTACGCTTGTTTCGAAGGGACATTTTACTGTGTCGGCCCAACATACTGTTGAGCCTACTCAGATAAAAACGTGCGTGACGGGTTACTCTTTTGACGTGGGGCTTGAAAGTGAGCCCTGTGTCTAGAGTGACACCTAAATATTTGGCGGACGTATGCCAGGGGACAGGGGTCCCTAGCATACGTATTGGTGGAGTGTTTTTGAGACGGCGTCGTTTATAATCGAAGTGAACGGCGGAGCTCTTCTCCGGGTTCACATCGATGCGCCATTTTTTGAACCAAGCTCCTAGGTCATCAACTGACTTTTGGATCTTGTTCCGTATGAAGGGTAGTGAGACACCTTTGCAGTAGATGGCAGTGTCGTCTGCAAAGAGGGAGAGTTGAACACCTTTCGACGGGATGGGAATGTCGTTGGTGAATATGATGTACAGCAGAGGAGCAAGTACTGAGCCCTGAGGGACACCAGCCTTGATAGTTCGCTGTGAAGAGAGCGTGCCTTCGTGTCTGAAACGAAAGGTACGATGTTTTAAATAGGAGGCCACGAGACGAACTAGACGATCGGGGAGACCTATTTTATAGAGCTTGTAGATAAGGCCTGTGTGCCAGACTCTATCGAAAGCTTTGGCTATATCGAAAAAGACCGCGATGGTCTTATGACGACGAGGATAGAAACCGCTGAGGATATATTCCACAATGCGGTGAACTTGTTGGGGACATGAGTGTTTGGCTCGGAAGCCGAATTGATGGGGAATGATAAGAGGGTCGCCGTCTGTGGGAAACAGGTAGCGCCTCATACGACTTTGGATGACTCTTTCGAAGAGCTTGCCCATTGCCTTGAGGAGGCTAATGGGGCGATGGCTGGAGGGGGAGGTTGAGAGGCTTGCCTGGCTTGGGAATTCCAATCACAGTAGCCTCTTTCCACGTAGTGGGAAAATAACTAAGGTTGAAGCAGGCGTTGAAGATAATAGATAAAAAGGTTAACACCTGCTCGGGAAAGTGTTTTAGGGCTTGGTTGGAGATGCCATCCGCGCCCGGAGCCTTTTTAGGCTTAAGTCCTTTGATGAGGGATGAGATCTCATCATTGGACACAGAGATAGGTTCAGAGGCCGTGGGGGGTGAGCTCCGGCGGCGGACCTCATCCTCCACTGCCTGGACGTGTGAGGGGTCGACGGGTTGAGAACTGGGAGAGCATTGAGCGGCAATGCTGTCTGCAAAGCACTCAGCCTTTTTCCTCGTCCTCGAAGGCAACCGTGCCGTCGGGACGGGAGAGAGGGGGAGTGTGGGTGATAGCGTCTATGCGGAGGGCTCTAGCCATCTGATAGTACGCTGTGTGAGATGGAGAGATATTCTCCATGAGCTTACTCTTTTCGAGGTCTCGAAATACAGAGAGGCGGAAGCGGAGTTCTCGTTGAAGACGATTGGCCGCGCGCCTATATTCGGGGGTGGGATATTTTGCTGCTCTCCGGAAAGCAGCTTTTTTGGCTTTTATTAGGTTGCTAATATGTAGGGGAAGCCCACTATTGTTAGCAACCGGGACGACCCTTTTCGTTCTCCTTAAGGGAGGATTTAATAAGGGTGGAGAGTGAGTCGACCGCGGTGTCGATTTTTTCAGGACTATCTAAGTCCGACGGTAGGGAGATGGTAGAGTCCTGTGAGTCCAAAGCTTTAGCTAGGGACTCCTTGAATCCCTTCCAGTTAGTGAAGGTTTTCGTGTGTGTTGGGGGAGGTGGCTGATGGCCAAGAATGAGGGAGACCGGTCGGTGATCTGATCCTAGATCGTCTAGTGTCTCGATTGCTCCGAGGTTGAGAGAAACTCCTTGGAGTAACGCAAAATCTAACACATCGGGGGCGTGATCGGTGTTATCGGGAAAGTGAGTAACACCGAGAGGACTATGGACGGTAATATCAAGAGACTGCGTGATATCGAGCAGTATCTTGCCACTAGGGGACGTAGTGCGGCATGTCCATTCAGTATGCTTGGAGTTAAAATCTCCAAACATAATGACTGAATTGCCTAAAGATAAAATGGCCTCAAAATCCTTTTTAAGGGGATAGGTTCCTGAAGGGATGTAACAGGAGGCTATGAGGATGGACTGGTGTCCAGTCATAGCTAGCCTGCATACCGTGGCTTCCATGTTGGTAAGCTGCGGAGTAGAAATGGGCGAGCAATGAAGTGTCTTCTTGTAATAGATGGCCGTTCCGCCGCCTCGGCGGTCGGGTCTGTCGTTACGAAGAAGAGAGAGGAAAACTCTATAGTATCCATTGACTTATATATTACTAGCGTAAGGACCGGGCCTACCGCACAACTTAAACGGACCAGTGCGCTGGCCCTGAAATTACAGTTTAGGGCCAACGCGGATCGGTCGACAGTGGTGCGCGCGCAGGACAGTTTTGCCTGTCATAAATATGTCTAGTTACGTGGTAAAAGAATGCAAAAATTACAATACAAACATTTTTAAAAAACATGGGGTATCGTATCATCGGTAAATAAACTTATATTAATTTTATTACTATTAAATTATTATATAAACGCATTTTTAAAGTTATAATTTACAGTTATTTTAGTTACGTTACCAAGATTAGGCCAGGATTGGATTCAGACCGTCGAAAATATTGTACATGGAAAATAAAATTATACTCAGTATTTAAAAAAAATTATATCACTTTTGACGTTTCATGTTCCTTTTTTTCCATGTGCCGGGATTTTAACGTCACGCGTCTAGTTCGGTTTTATTTTTATTTCTGTTTAGTTTTTGTCTAAAGAACTATGTGTAAGTTAAATTTTGAATATTGGTACCTAATATATTTTATATTCAATAAGGGTAAAACAAAAAGAGTACAAAAGAAACCATCTCTGCTTAATTGAATCTGAAAATCTGAAACTACAGGGATTTGTCTTTTTCGGAAGACGAACTACAAATGCGTCTTTCCAAGCTGAAGGGAAAAAAGCAGAATTCAGTGAATTATTCAGGATAGACGTGATTATAGGTAAAAGGAGATCAATGAGACGGATGACCATTTTCCGACTAATGAAGTCACTACCAATCGAATTTGAATGGATGGACATTATGGCTCTCTTAACATCATAACTGTTAAATTGGCTAAAATTAAAAACAGGTGTCCGGAGTGGGAGCTTTTGAAAGAGAATCCAAAGTATTGTGTTTTGCTTTATCGTTAATGCAAGACGAATAGACGAATATTTTGAAATTCTGTTTTCAAACCGATTGCTTCTGGAGCATAGAGTTTTTATCGTGGTAGCCCCTCATTATAGTTGTATCAAGGATGCAACATAAATGCATCGGTCGAGCATCGATTGACCAGAAAGGAAGCTAATTCTAATTTTATTTAAAAAAAACACGGCACTCATGTACAATTCAGAAATTTTCGATATCGTAGGGTTAATATTAAAATGTAAAAGGACCCAATAATAATACAAGTTGACCTTTAGCTAAAATTATGTTATTTTCGCTTAGTATTATAACGATATGAAAACTATTAGAAAGGGAATACAACAAACTATGAAATAATGGTACAATTAGGATAATTATACTACGAAATCCGACCCTGGTTACGCCGTGTTTTGATATGACGTTTGTATTATGACAGATGTACTACTTTTTCTTGTATGAAAAAGTTATGAGTAAAATATTTAGATGGCCTATCTTTTCATTTGAATTAGTAGTAGTATCATAGTTTTCTTAATATATGTTTATGTTATAAGTCAGAAATATCTTATGGCTACCTATAGTTGGTGTTATACTTTCTTGTATAACCGGTCTTGAAATACCCACTTTAGAGATGGGGAGCACTGTCTAAGGACCTATACACGTGGAAGTGCAAACGTCAGTTCCACTGTCTGGCTTAGTGTTGATGAAATGTATTTTATTGTGAGCGGCCACATTCATCTGTGGACTGTTACGGGCTGATTAGGATGTAAAAAGAAAAGATAGACGTCCGTCCATCTAGAGTTCACTTATCCTCTCCTGCCTCCATCCATCCAGGTCCTAATTCTTATGTAGTTTCGTACACCTCACTTACCGGTACCTATCTACTTTTATTTTTAACCGAATTACTTTACTTTTTAATTATTTAACCGGCTTCTTGAAGATTATATTTTTTAAGGTATGTTCAGGCATAACTCCATATTATATTGACGGATTAGCAAAATTTTGCTCCGTCATATATAAAAGGACTTCCAAAGAATTTTGTTCGGGAATTGTCTCCTATTAAATTTTGTAAAGATCCGATTATGAATTTTGATGAAATTGTGAGTTTGATGAAAAATTTATCAGAAGGCGGAGACAAACAACAGAACTCTTCAATAAATGCCGCAAATCGACCGCAACTGCTGCTATCACATATCCATGTATTGTTAACACAATCTCACAACGTAATAATAAATACCTACAACAAAATACCCACGTTGCATCCTCATTTCTGTGAAAGTGGTTGTTGAAGTAGGTTTTTACTTTTTCAAAAGTTTAATCTTATCAAGTTACATAATTATATTGAGTATCTTAAACTTAGTTATGTGTTTTATGTTAGTTTGCATGGTCATTCGTTTTTTTATAATATTATGGATATTTGATATCTGCAATAAAGTATTATTGTTAGTATTAATACTTTTTTATATCAAAATTTTTTCTTTTGTAGGACTGAGGGACTAGACACAATGAATACGGGTGGAGATGAGCCATCATCTAGTTTAAACGGAAGATTGAGGCCACGAAAGTCCAACAATGCCAATTCCCAAACTTATAAAGTCTTGCGTAAAGCAGACGGTAAATCTTTCTCATGTAAACCTAAACGAATCAGCACTCCCTCCAAAGTGTCGCCAAATAAATCGGATGAACTCGTTAACAAGTCTGATAACACGCCAGTTCTGCAACTTCTTTGCCCATATTGTGATAAAAAATTCACATCTAGACAGACTGCATCCAAGCATGCTCGGCGTATTCACTTGTCGCCTTTAAAACAAGATTTTGTTATTGATTGCCTTTTCTGTAACCATGCAGAATCACAATCCAATGATATCATTCGGCACATGGTGGATAGTCATCCTAATCAGTACTTCGCTTGCCTTGATTGTCATACCCGTTTTTCGTCCACGTCGGATCTGGCTGAACACAAGCTTAATGTTTGTGAAAAGCAAAAGATACCATATCGAAGTAAACTCCGGCAGAAATCATCAGAAATCAAAAAGAACCAAAAAACACTCTGTGTTGATGGAAGGGATAATTTTCGGAATGAAAAGGAGTTTTCTGGTGGACATGGCTTTAACGGCATCGTTATATCTTGTGAGCTTAAACCAGCCCACGTGCATGACGATGCCGACATTGAAGATAATATAACTACAAATTTAATTTTACCTTCAGGCAAGGGAATTGGCAATAACGCAGTAATTGAGAAGAACGCAGTTATAGTATTAGATGATATACAGTGGAATAAACGTATACCATCCAATTTTTCGTTCCACAATACAGATACTGATCAAATTTTATCTAGGCTGGGTGTGGTACACCGATCCCCCCGTACTGGAGAATCTACTAAAAAAAGATTGGCTTAAAACTGCTGATGATTCAACACAAAAATTTGAGAAGTGTTTCGACACAAGTTTTTATACAAAAGTTGCCAGTAATGTACAAGAAAATTTGTCAAAATATCTTGATGGATCGTTTAATGCTAACCCTGATCGTGATACTACAATAAAAACAAGAAAAGCTAAAAATTGTGTGACTATTAATGCGGTAGAAGGTTTTCCAACTCTTCTAGCTTGTGAACAGTACTCTCGAAATTTATTTGATAGTTACATGCCGCGGGCTGTTGCCCCGAAACACAAATGGAAGTGGGACAGTCCAGAAAACGATAGATCTATAATCAATCCTGATCAAATGAAACGTGACTCTCATTTAAATAATTGTATAATAACGTTGGTGTCTAGCTTGGATATCTGGACCCAATTAAGTATGAGACGAAAATTCGAAGATAAGTTTAATAGCTTACCGTTAGGAAAAAAGACTGAAAAACAAAATACTATCAGTAAGGAGTTGAAAGAAATACTTGAAAGTAGAGATATACCAACATCATCTACGCAAGTTGCAAAATACACCAGTAAAGCTGTCACTTCAAGCGAAGGAATTGATTTTCCCGCTTTATTAGGGCTGACACCTGCAACACCTTCATATGATTTGCAGCCAGCGGTGTTAAGTGGCGAGTGGGTGAGGCCCCGTTGCTATGTTTGCTGTGCATGTGGAGCTCAGACGCGTGATTCACGAGCTTTATCTACACATATTTCTACACAACATCCTAATGCATATGTACAACATTATGAAATCGTAGGAGAACCTTTACTAAATGCTGATATACTTAAACATTTGTACTTGCCACCAAGCCAAAATCTTAATAGAACTCGCCCACTAAGAGGGTTTAGAGAGTGCACAAAATGCAAAAAGTCCGTTACCCTTGAAGAATTACACCAACATATGTTAGATTGCGCGGGAGACACTCCGGCTGTACGGAGAAAATGCCGCTACCGACCCTTCGGCGTTCGCAAACGTCGTTCACGGCTTCCGGACAATAGAATTCGAAAAAAAATGCGTAAAGATATGAGGACAGGACAAGCAAATGACAAAAATCATATGAGGTCTCGACCAAGAATAAGATCTGAAGTTGGCGATGGTAAGTTTTAAATAAGTAATAAGCTTTCCATTCTAAATAACTTTAACTCACTTTTTGGTGACAATAAACATCCGTATCTTTAGATGATATGGTACCCATTAATGAGTGATGCTATGTACTTTTTGTAATTCTATTTAATTAATGTAAATATTTATTTTTACATTTCTCAGTATTAAATTGCATAAAAAATACTAAAAAAAATCCACATTATTATTTTATCCGAATAACTATTATTTAGCAAATGAAAATTTTGTCCCTATTCTTTATGTTCTAAATATATATTTAGTAGTAATTAAACAATGGAAATTCACAAAACATCATAAATACTATTAATATTATTGTACTAATATGTACAAACACAAGTACCACGAACTCGTAATTGATTTTTCCAGTACTTAAAACTGAAGGAACCAAAATAAACGTGATACTTTTTTGCTTTTATTGTATTCACAAACATTACCATTAGGTCTCACGGTAAGCTTCCAACGCCCAGGATACAGAAATACTTATCATAAACAAAACTAAGGGACGAGCGACACTATGCGTTTATTATAGTCAACGCACGGTAAAAGGAGCTTGTAAGGCATTTTATTACATGCATAGTGATGCGACAAAGCAACACAATTTTTTTTATAAGGATGACAAGCGAGCACACAGCCCACACGATGGTAAGTGGATGCTGTGGAACATAGACATCTCGACTGAAATGAAAATGCAGATGTGTTGCCGCCCCTGAGAACTGAGATGGTATACCTCGTATCAAGGTCGTGGTAAAAGGGTCTACTGTTCTCTATACTCAACATACGAAACACAGCAGCATCAAGCTGCTATTTTATGCTGGTATTCAAATTAGTAGTATTGTCAAACTACTATCGGGTATAGGTTGTGTTTGTTTCGTTAACACAACCTATAAACGATACTAGTTTGACAAAAGGGAAAAGGATCGCAGAAGGACTGTAAAAACTACCGTGGTATATCACCCTTCTTAGCAATGTGGGAAAACTATATGCTAAGGTACTAATTGAAAGGGTCTTGAAAAAAATTTGGGATGTGCAAGAGGGATTTAGAAAGGGAATGTGATGTACAACATCATGTCTTTTCCATGCGCATGACCGCGAAGAAGTTTTGGCCAAAAACTAAAATATTTTTTGTGCGTTCATGGACTTGGAAAAGGCCTATGACAGAGTGGACAGGGATATGCTATGGCAAACACTGAACTCATTTGGGCTGAGCGCTGGGTATATATATATATACAGGCATTTAGATAGATACAGGCATTAGTCTCTTTAGAGAGACTCTAGTGCCTGTGTTAGGATCACCGGGGTCTACTCGGACTGGTTTGGCCAGCCATCAATAAAGGACAGGGCTGTGTAGCTTCCCCGTGGCTGTTCAACCTATTTATGAACAGTTGGTTGGAAAATTTGAAAGTTGAATAATGCGGATTAAGAATGGGTTAGTTAACCCTCAAATGCCTTTTTTACGCCAATGATCAAGTTATTTTTGCGTCATCGGCGGCCGAGTTGCAAATGATGGTTACATTAATGAACAAATCATTAAAAGAAAGTGGCGTGAAAGTGAACGCAAGTAAGACGAAAGTTATGGTTTTTGAAAAAGAAGAAAAAAATCGATATGAGAAATAAGAATAGAAGGGGAGTCGATCGAGCAAGTAGATGAGTTTGTATATTTGGGAAGCGTATTTAGCAGAGATGGGAGATATGATAAGGATATATAACGACGAGTGAACGCAGGAAATAGAGTAAATGTGGCTCTATTGTGGTAAGTCAGAATGTATCAAAAAGTACACGTATGGCAATTTACAATGCTGTGTTGGTTTCTACTTCAACGTATGGTAGTGAAAGTTGGGTGTGGCAGAAGAAACACGAGAGTAGAATAAAAGCAGAAGATATGCGGTCGTTAAGGAGTATCTTAGGGCTGAATATTAGTGACTGGGTGAGAAATTGTGTGATAAGAGAAGAATGTGATTTGCAAGATTATGTTGTGACCAGGATTAAGAAAGGTATGCTTCGCAGGTTTGGTCATATAGAAAGAATGAATCAAGAAAGAGTGACGAAGCACATTTATGTTGCAGAAGTGAATGGCAGAGTCGGAAAGGGATGTTCTAGGCGAAAGTTTATCGACCAAATTAGCAATATATTGAAAATGGGCCTAATTAGGAGTACCCTTAACCGACGAGCTTGTATGCATAATGCCAAATGGATGTCTGTAGTCTCTGCCTACTCCTCTGGGTGACAGGCGTGAGTGTTTATGTATGTTTTTATATGTGGTTTTGTTAACTCTCCGTAATATTAATTGAAATCGTGTTATATTCCTTCCAATTTGTTCAGTAGTATTCTCAAACTAGTATCGGGTATAGGTTGTGTTTGCTTTTTTTACTGGCTCAGTGATATGAATTGATATCGTGTTATATTCCTTTCAAATTATTCCCTTTGAAAAATGCGATGTAGTAGCGAAGAAGAATTTGATAAATTGCATAACAAAGAACTTTTCCTTATAGGTCATGTTCTATTCATCCTATGTCTTCTACTTTAATTCTATATTTTGAGCGTGTGTATGTACGCTGATCTTCAATAATAGGCCGCTTATCCACTACAAATACAATTTTTTTGGGAATCAATAAATGATAACTTCTTTGAACGTCTTGTTATTTTTATTACTTGACTGTGAAACAAACAGAAACATATGTTATGATAATTACTCTGTATTAGATGATTGTGTACCTAGTCATTAACGCGGAGGATCTAGTATTATAATTACAATAAATAGATTGTGTAGATATTGACTAGAGAATTTATAGCTGAATTATTTATTTGTTTATCTGCCACTCAACTCGAGTAAAGTCGCATCACGATGTTAACCAATCACAGCGTCCCAATCAATGCTATGCGTACGCACAAAAACGACTTCTTTCAATATTGTTAATAAAATATATAGGAAATAAGGCAAATGACAAATTTGCCATAACGAACGCACTGAGAAACATCTTGTGATATCATTACCCTATACTTATTTGAGTAATGTTTGTGAATACGTATGTTAATGTAGATGGGTAGCTGCGTACCTGGTTAATACTAACAAGGAGAAACACATACATACGTACACGTATACTTACATATTAATAAACACCTAATCTTATATAGTGGCAAAAATGTTGCGAAAACTATCCTAAAAATCCTGGGTTCATTCTTCTAAAAATATAATTATAATAAATTGAGGTAGCTAGCTGAGGGGTATTATTGTTTAACGATCGAACGAACGAATAACAAACTTATTTTTTTGTTGTTTTAATTATATTAATGATAATACGGTTCAGTAACAACATATAATATATATTTGTATTTTGTTCCAGCTGAGACTATACGCAAAATGTTAGCTGACCTACCAGCTAAGCGTCATCGGGTTATGGTCAATCCATTGAATTCATTGCCACGTAAAACACTTGATGGAAAAAGAAATAAATTAATCATGAAGCAATTTTCCTCGGGTGATCGAAAGAAAAGAAATACACCTGGAGAATCGCCCAGTTCAGAATGTAGTAAAGCTTTTACTAATATTAAGCATAAACATGGCGCTTTAAATAATGATGAAGAGGACGATGAAGATGATAATTTACCTTTGCGACCTAAAACCAATAGCATCGAAAATAAAATCTCACGCCACAAAAAATCTTTAAATAAAAATGCAATTATGAATCGGTCTAAAAGAAAACCAATTAAGGAAATGAAGGTAATTATTGAAAAATCTAATGATATTTCTGTCGACTGCACAGAGGATAACCAACCTGAGCAATTGTCAATTGATAATACTCCGGCAAGGATAGATGTAAACGTTGGTCCGTGCAACATGAGGGAACATTCAAGCCGAGGAGGATCTAATAACAGAGATGATCAGCAACCAGGCTGCAGTCAACCTAATGGAAATTTAAATAATTCTACTGCTCCAACTCAAAATGTTCCTCTTAAACATTCAATTGCTCGTTTGACCGCTGATTCTGAGACTCATGATAAATCAGTACAATTTCATCATCTTTTTCTTGTTCAACAAGAATGCAATAATATAGATCACCATTTACCTTCTGATCGTCGTATGCTTTTTGAAAACGAAGCAGTGGTTACTAAGCTTGATAAACCGCCTTTACACTTTAATCAAAAAATATTGGAGCATGAAAATCCTAGAAGGAACAAATTAAGTAAGCCTCGTAAAGGATTGAATGATTGCATTGCAATGTTAAAAAATAAGTTAACGCCAGCAAATGAGAGTGACGTACCTGGACATGTTTCTGTTCAATGTGGCACTGATGATCCCATTGAGCCAGAACCAATAATAATTGAGAAAAACTCAACCAAAATAGATGCAAATCCTAACATTGTAAAGAAAACTACCGATCCCATAATATTGTCACAAGTTTCGATACAGAGTAGTGCAGTAGAACAAGTAAATATTGAACAATTAAAACCTCGTGAATCTAATTGCGATGTAACATCTCGAGAGATTACTACAAATGATAAAAATAACGAGGAATTAATATTTAGAAACCACACTCCGGAGCCGGAACAAACATGTCAAGATAAAGTCATAGCGATTGACGAACATGACGATACAGTTTCGATATATGTATCGACTACACAGAGTAATATGCGACTAGAAAACGAAAGTGCACATAATTTTGTACCTTTAGCGCCACCAAGAAATACAGTTATTAGAAAATCTCCAAAAATGTCAATTAATTCTGCTGCTTATGAAGAGGAACTAAAAATCAAGTACAAAAACTCTCCTGCCGAGACAATGGACAGTATTAAGAAAGGTTGTAAGACACTAAATATGAATGATGCCAATTTACTGAGCGAATTGTCACCAAAATTAACGGCAGACGTTCCCTTCGAATGTAGTAATACGCAATCACGACCAATGAACGCTCAAGTTCAAAATGATTTAACTGATAATTTATTTGGGTTGACTTCTTTAAATACCTGTTCCTCGGGTTTAAAATCTCATGTGAAGCCAAGAAACCAGGAAAATATATGTTTTTCATCGAAAGAACTAAATATACAACATAATCATGGTATATCTCGTAAAGTTAGTCTTGAATATTCTCCTGCTGACTTTCAAGATGTTCCAATCGTAATTCCTCCTGCTCATGCTAGTACGAACGTTGAGTCAATTTTATCGACACCTTTGGATTTATCTGGAAAAAAGAATCATATAGATGATTCAGTAAATTCTTCTAATCAGGAAATTTCTTTTATTGAAAATACTTACGAAAGCTATGAGACATTAGATCTGTCTAATAAAAATGTATCTGTTGCTGAATCTCTTAAAGGTAATGTTATTTCGAAAGTGGATCATCCTACGGATGTTATTGTGGATTTAAGCATTAAACCAACACCCCAATGTCCTCAAGACATTTCCGCAAATTTGCGTACAAAACCTGCAATTATTGATGCCACTCCATCACCATCAGATTTATCATACGAAAATGTTCCTACGGATTTATCGATTAAGAAAGTAGGAAGAACTGCTTCCGTTGACTTAATTCCAAAACGACCGGAAACGGATTTCGTCCATGATTTATCTAATCATAAGTCGTTCAAGCAAAGGGAAGCATTTCAAGATTGTTTCATTGAAACTGAATATGATAATAAAGATATGCCGACTGATTTATCCGGTAAAACTTTAAAGGACAAATCTTCAGTAATAGACATTTCTTCACGGGAAATTGATGCGAAAACAAAAAGCCGAGAAACTAAAGGTGTTGCTCAAATTGACCTAACACAAAAATCTACTCAGATTATAAACAATGCTTGTGAAAATATTGCAACGGAACGGATACTAGATGTTACTCCACCTCTTAATGAGAATATTTGCGAAGGTAATGAAATAAACATACTAGAAAATCCTCCTATACATTTTTTACCATTGATGGATGAAAACGATAATACAACGACTATACAACGGCATTTTCAAACAACCCCAATTTCAAGACCTGAAAATACGTACCACAGTTCGGATTCCCGACACGTAACTATTATTGAGGAAACAGACCATGATGACGGTACGATAGCCACTGAAACAGTGTCAAATAATTCTTTGGTTGATAAAGTTGTTTTGACACAAGAAAAATTATTGGGCGAAATTGAAAGACCTATTTTAAGTCTTGCAGTTTGTACTATCGGTAACACAATACCTCTCTATACTTTGATAAATCGAAACATCGCTACACACGTGCCTGGTTCGAAACTCGAAAGTACTACCCCAGTGTATACTTTAGCCAATGCTTGTATATCTGTGACTAAAATTGATACTTCTTGTTCGGCAACTTTGACAAATGCTTTGTTAAGCATTCCTGGAACAATAATAGCTAGTACAAAGGCTGTTTATACTTTAGCAGGGACTACAGTAGATCCATCAGTTAATTACGGTACTGTTTCTTTTCCTAATCAGGTTAGTAGCGGAAGCACTAGTATAAATGAACATTTATATAATATCCCAGATAATGACTTAACATCTGAGGTGAAAGGTTTTGAGAGCAATTCTACGCAATCCAGCAACATATTAAAAGAAAATGATGATCATGCTAAAGAAGAAATAATTGATTGTGATTTGGAAGAAGACTTTGAAACAGCGAGAAAAATTGCGATGTTGCCCAGAGAATTAGTGGAAATTTTAGGTAACATGCCGGTTGATCATCGAAATCAATTATTAAACGTTCTACCGCATTATGTATCAAATTCAGCTTCTCTTCCAGCATCGGATACAGCATTGCATTTAAAAAATAGGTCAAGATCAGAATCCATAGGAACACCATCACCATTGATGCAAGACTCCTTAAAAATGGGGCAGAGCCATAATGAAATAACTCCTAAAAAGAAAAACAATGACCAAGTTTCAGTAAATTCACAGGAACTAAATAATATTTCTGTTAGAATGGTTGGGTCGACATCAGCTTCTCCAAGCGTTTTGCACGTATCTGCACCACAGTCTGTTATTCTTAAAACACCTACATTTACAGAAGACCATAAAATAAAAAAATCTTTGAATACTACAGCAACGAATCGTGTTGTAGATCATCAGCCAAAAGCCGTTCCATTAAAAGATATTCAGAATGCTATCATAGACTTAACTGATGATGAAAATGGGCTTCACATTCAAGATGACGTGCAGATTATTGAAGATGACTTAAGCTTAGTAACTAAAGAATTAAATCGAAATTTAGAAGGTAACTCAAATTCATCTAAACAAAAGGGTATGAACGATCAAACTGCAAGCTTAAGAGCAGTGCGTATTAAAGGCCCGTCTGAACGAAATAAACAAACATTCCCAGAAAACTCTTTGGAATCGCAAAATGATTATAACCCTTCCATTACTGGTCTTTCTGACCAATGTGAGTATAGCAATGACGACAAAAATATTGACATCCAGAAACATGACAATGAAGCCGAGAATAAATTATCACAAATCACAATTATAAATACACCACTCAAAGTTAATGAGAGTGAATTGAGTACATTTGATCCAAATCAAACACGTGCTTCTGTGTTTGCTATGGAAAAAGGTCAGGCTGCTAATCACCAAGAAGTTCTAATTGATAGTACATCTTTAAAATCTACAATTATTATAAAGCCAAATGCAACTGAAAAAAAATTAGACGAATTTCAAGACAAGTCAAATGATGAAGGGTATGATAGAAATAATACAAATAGGGAGTCTATAGATTCATCACCGAACTTATTTCAGAATGAAGGTGATAGGGAAGTTATTATTTTAGACTTCAACGGCATAAACGAAACTCGCACTTGTGATGCTTCTGAAGATATTACTTCACTAGCTAAACCCCACTTTTGTTTGGACAATCGTTATTCACCCACAAGACAGTTCATGAAAAATAGTGATGAAGATTCCGATGATGATGTGTCTTTGGCGGTTATAGTAAAACAAAAGCAGCATGATCAATCAAAATTATCATCTATGTATGATAAATCTACGGGTACGCCAATTGATCCCACTACTGATAGTAAGAATAGAAAAAAAGAAAAAAGAAACAGAAAGTCTGATCCAAAAAGTATTGACAACGAAATGGTACTAAAAACGAACACGGAAAATACGTCAAATAATTCAGATGAATTGATAAGAAATTGTGAAGAAATAGATGGTACGGTGCTTCGTAAAAACTGTTTGAATTTAGTTTCAGATGAAGATGAAGTTACGAACCATATACATAAAAGAAAGACTAGAAAAAGACGACTTGAAAGATCAGTTACGAAATCAGAGATAACCTCTAAAAACAAATCAAATTCATTAGAAGAAATTGACGTCACACGCGAAAACAATAAAACTTTTAAAAACAGCATAAGTAAAACAAAAAACATTGAAGTAAATATTAAATCTAAAACTTCTCATCAAACGTTTTCTTCTAAGACTATTGATATTGGTAGTAACGAAATTGTTGTAAATAATGGCGTTCAAAATAAATGTTGTTATGATAATCCTACACAAACTTTTGAAATAAAGAATGACCTAAAACGATGTCAAACATCAAAAACAGTCAAAGAACACCAATCGAATGATGTTATATATGACAGCATAAATTCAAACGAAAGCACGGTCAAAGAATATTTACAAGAAACGAATCGAAGTATCTGTCCCGGTTCTAGAGCTTACACTAATAGTTCAGTTAAAGAAATAATTCACAAAAAACTGAAAGACATCGACAGTAAAGCATCGTTTGTTGCTCATGAGTGCTGTCAAATTAATCTTTTAATACAACCGAGAAGAATCGAATCAGTCGAATCAATTAATTCAAAATCGGATATGTCATCGGTTTGTACTAATTATGATAATAGTTGTGGTGATGAAAAATTTATAAAATTACACAACGATACACGTCATATTGAATTTAGCGATAAAGATTTTACGAAGAAAAAAGCTGTTCGCATGAAAAAACATAAAAATGTTGATGCTACAGGACCAATTGTAGGACCTGATGGACCAGGACAAAGTGTATTAGTTGAAAATGAAGAAAGTAAAACAATCCCTCTGCGACGAAGTCGCCGCGGTAAATCACTATTTGTTGATAGTAATTTAGCAGATCCTGAAATTTCATACCAAAGTTGTACCACTGAATTAAAAACTCCGCTTACTAAAAAACAGCTTATTTTTTCGAAACTGTTATTAGACGAAGATAATATTACGAAACCCATCACTTTGAGAGAAAAAGAACCAATTGTAATTATTAAAAACGTTAAGATAAATTCCCATGTAACATCTGTAGTTCGCCATGGAAATAATAATGATAAGAAATCGCAAGAGTCTGTTAGTAATGCGTCAAAACAAAGTAAAGCTTCTAAAAGAAAAAAATCTCCACAGGTAAAACGAAAAACGAAAAAAATTAAATCAGCAGATAATGTACGCGTTGAAAGTGTATGTTTATCACATATCACTAAAAATAATCGAATTGAAAACAATAGTAAATTAGAAAAACATAATCATGACCAGAGGAATAATCAACTTCAATCAAAAAATGAGACGTGTGTAGAAAATACTAAAATACTGGCTGCACAAAATCAAGATTGTATAGGTCTCAAACAGAACGCAAAAAAAGTGGAATGTGACTACAATGATGCGGTTAGTACAAATCTATGTAACCCAGATCTCAGTCATAGCGGACACCTCACTACTAATACCATATCAAGTTTTGTCGAAAACCGGAAAATTTGCTGTACAATTACCAGTGCAGATATCATTTCCACATATAAAAAATCGAAATTTAATAATGAACTTGGCATATCAAAATCTAGTAAAAAAGAAGAAGAGAAACAGAATAATGATGAAGAAAATTTAAGAAAAAGTAGAGCCAGAAACCCAGTGACAGAAACACGTAACAAAACATGTTATAACTCGCATATTGCCGCTAGGCGAACTCGCTCAAAATCGGTTGTTGTTAAATCAAGTACATCGTCATATGATCCTTATAATATAGACTTAGAGGAAATGGTTGATAAGACTGAACCTTTTGGAAAAAGATTAATGTCTTCGGAAAAGGTTTTTAATGGATTCCTTAGGGATCAAGATTTCAAAAAGAGAAATAAAAGTGAGACTTCAGTTGGAGTTAATACGGAGCCAATTAGTAATGGAGACAATATTGATTCAGTTCAAATTCAAAATAAAACCGATAACAAATTCAAAGAGAACATAGGTAACCTGAGTGATTCGGATGATTCTTCTAAAAGTGATATACCGTTGCAAAAATACGTAGAAGAAAAGGAAAAGAAGAATTTAGAGTCAAGTTGTGATAATAGCATTCCAGAAGCAGGAACTGCTAGTGGGAACAACGAAGTAACAAAAATCTGTGAAAAGGATGTCGATTTAAAAGATACGAAAAAGAACGATGGAATGGGCAGTGCAGAGCAAGAGTCTGAACAACATTTAAGGTCAGAACAGTTTATGGAAAGTTTCGGTTTCTTTTCTGAAAGAAAACCTAGAAAATCGAATTTACTGGCTACGAAAAAAATTTCTGAAACATTCCACATTATAGCAAATGAATCTGATGACGTTAACTCAGATCCTAAAGAGCGAACAAATAAAAAGACAGCACAAACTGAATCCAAAAATTCAAATGAAGATGAAAGTAGTAGAGACTCATCACAGTCCCCAACAAAAAAAGCTACAAAACGAGGTCGTAAAAAGACGATTTGCACGAAACCCATTCCAAGCCATTGTCTTATTTGCAAAAAAGAATTCAGACGTCCCGATAATTATCTGAGGCATCAAATGACGTTACTTCACATTTCTAAGTTATCAGAAATTGAGATGAAAATAAAAACAACGCCTGTTTACGAAGAGCCTAATTACCTTGTAGCTTATAAGCAGCAATTGGATCGCCTAAGATACTTAACAGAAAAGATGGCAAAACGTAAGAAAAGCTCTAAGTCAACGTCTAAAATGACTTTGCCAACTTTAGATGAAATTCTGGCTGACGTTAATAGAACTGTTAGAGAGCAGCAATTATCGCGCCGAAATCTTAGTCGAGATGAAGCTCTATTTCTAGATTGTTGTGAACTCTTAAAAGAGTCTCATAAACCTGACATACCAAACACAGATCAAATTACCATAACAAGTGATGTAAGTAACATTTTAACATCAGAGGTTACTGTTGTTAATGAGATTAGTGGATTAGAAAAAAGCGATGAAAAGTATGACACTAGAAGCGATGGTGATGTAGATTCCATAACTGCCAAAAATATTTTGGAAAGCGAAGAAGTACGAAATTTGGAAAATGATTTAATTTCAGGTTTAAAAGAAGCTGCAGCGAACTCCCTTACACAAACTGTGAATAGTCTCGGTTATCAACCTTCTATAAGTGAAGTTAATCCAGATCGAAATACACATACAAATGACTTTTCAAGTTTACCTCTTACCGTATCAAGTCATGAATCTGTAAGTTGTTGTGAACAACCTGTGGATGAACTCACTACTTCCAAATGTAAGAAAAGTAATGAAGTTAAGGATAAAATGTACCCAGATGTGATTGATACAATAGATATGTTTGAAGATAAATTTGACAAAATTAAAAGAAAATGCAGGTCTCAAGCTGCTGCCGCTAAACACGTTCAGCCTGTAGTAGAATCAAGTTCAAGGTATTATTTTAATTGTATTTTCATTATATATTCATTAAGTAATTCCTAATTATTATAATATAAAGAAAATTAATCAGCAAAAATTACAAATTATTATCTGAATATTGAACATGATCTCATATCTTTTTATTGTTACAGCCCCAAGGGACGGAAAAAATCAGAGAGGAAAAAGGGTAAAAGAAGTTCCAAGAAAAACTATCATAATTCAATACTAACCAAGGGGGCACTAAAAGGATTTGACGGCATTAAAGTCTCTATTCCGACTTCTGATATTAATATGGCAGCGATTGTTCCGCCTATTGAGGGCTCTTCAAAGAAAAAGAGGAAAAGCAATCCTAAGAAGAAAACAGATAAAATGGATGTTGAAATAAAATGCAAAAGCAATACGGATCATAGACCCAAAACTACCCCCCAGAAGGTTGACGTTTACGAATTTATGGATAATGATGATGCTGAGTTGTTTGAATTTAGACCATCAACTTTAATGGAAAGATTTAAAACTATAAACAGTCGGGCTGCACCAAGTACTTCTAAATTTATCCCACATGTTGAGAAAGATGACTTGTCGAGTGAGAGTGGCTCTGACGGCGATGATTTTGTTTACGACGATTATGTATGCAGTGATGATGAGACTGAAAATAGCTTGATGTCATGTGAGCTAGGAAATGGAAAAATAGCAACTGAAACTAGAAAGACTGCTTCATCACTAAAGCGTAAAGATGTTGTTGAAAAAAATGCTGTCATGGGTAAAATATTTAAACATAATGCTGTCCGCACGGAGAAAAAAAGTAGCAAAACTAAGGAGCAAGTTAAAGCAAAAGCTAATCTCGATCAATTGTTTGACAGTTTGCTTGAAGATGAGCCCGGTCCATCTTCGTCAAATAATTCGTCATCTAAAAAAGAAGAAAGTATATCCCCAAAGATAAATGAGTCTGTATCTTTACGAAAGTGCAATGCAACAATTTTTAAACAAGACACGGGAAAATCACACAGTTTTACATCTTTAAAAAAAAATGACTCTGTAGTAAGCTCTAAAAGACACGATAGCCCCTCAGAACATATCAATTCCGATAGTAAACCGTCGACATCTAAGAAACACAACTTAACTTCAGCTGGAGATTATTACCGAACATCCCCAAAAAAACATGTTTCCAGCAAGCATAATGCTACGTCATCAATAGAATGTGAACCATCAACGTCCAAAAAAAGTGACGAAGGGCGTCATTCATCAAAAAAATTCATAACTTCTTCATCTAAGGACTATCCAAAATCTTCGCAGAAAAAAATTGAAAATTCATCGCCTAAAAAGTATGACACTATGATAACAGAAAAGTATGATAGTGATTCTCCAAGTTTTTGCGACGATTCTTTACCAAGTTGTTCAAAGGATATATCTAGAGAAAAATCTCCATTACGACAGTTCGAAAAAGACATATACACCAATTTTGACTACACAGTGGACACTTTGGACGACGCAATATCCGATGATGCTGGAGTAGCTCGGCAAAGGGTTCGTAGAAAATGCACTGTTGGAAAGCAAAATGTTCTAGCGGAGACTTGGAGTTCAGAATCAGAACCCGATGGTGGTCCGCCGCGGCCTAATAGCGCTGAGTCTGTTGTGTCAGTGGTCGGGCGCAAAAAAAAGGGTAAGAAAAAAGAGGGACAGCCATCTGGAGTGCGTAGGGGAGTGAGCCGTCAGATGCCTATTAAGAGACAGGATGTCGAAAGTAGGGTAGCTCTATTCAATCGCAGTGCCTCAAGTGTAAGCGGCAGAAGTGGCAGTAGTGGGGATAGTCAAGCTAGCAGTAGCGGTACATCCGCAGCTTCTACAGCCTCCACGTCAACTGGTGGTGTGACTTCTCCCAGTTCTCGCGTGCCATTGGGGCCACCGGGTCCCAAAGTCCGCCCGCGCTCCGCTGCTTATTACTGGTCATCTGAGGGAGACGAAGAGCAGGAACATATCCAGCAGCACGGCTGGATCGTCGGCGACAGCCATAAAAAATTAGTAACCATGCTGGCGCACGCTAAAAGACGAAAGCGTAACAATGATGAAAAACGTCATGTGGTCGATTAAGGTTTAGATGTCTAGAAATATTAATCTTGTAAATATGTTGTAAATAATATTCTAGTTCTTTATAAATGTCATTTTTCGTGACATTTTGACCAGGTACCCTTTAAAGCGAAAATTTTATTGAGTTGAGTTCTGTAAATAATGTATATCTTTTATAGCATATTTTAGTTAAATTTTGAAAGAGCCCATATACTGTAAGGACTGGGTTTATTTAATTCATTGTTAAACAGCCCTTGCAGTATTAAAGCCGAATTTTCTGAATAAATCTATTTAATTGAAGATTAAATTAGTCCTCTTTATACCGATTCTTTTATATCTTCTTTTACATCTTCGTGGGATGGAGCATTTCTAATGACATGATTAACTTCAAATTAACTTTTAATCAGATAGGAATTTAGTAAATTAGTTATAGTACTTCGATGTTTCGTTAAACACTTAAAATTCAATATAAACATTTACTAAGACCCGCCGACAAAATATTTCTGGTTCAATGTACATTATTACATTCATAATAAATCTGGATTGTCCAGACATAAGCATTTATAGCAATTTTAAATGAAGTTTTGATGTGATTTTAAAATATAATACGCAGTAGTCATTTCCCCAAAACTTTGAAGCATAGTATCTGTAATAAATGAAGAATAGACGTCGTAACAATAGTATCTATTTGTTCTAAATGCCCCTACCCTATCGATGTGAAATGTTTCTGTGGAATCTATACCAGTTAAATAAGAGGACAAATCAATGTGTGTTAAATTACATAAATTGCATATTGTGTTTCTTGCATAATATAATCCAACGCTAATTATAATCTTAATGGATGTACTTTAACTGAAATAATGGGTGTGCACCCGTGATTATTAAATCCGTTCAGAACATTTCGTCGTACGTAGAGAATTTACGTTTGGTAGTATCATCAAGGGCTGGTAACGTGGTCTGGTTGAAACGTGTAAGTTTGAGTTGAATGATTTGTTAACTATTTTTATACATAAGTTTTTTTTGAGTAGTCAATTTAAATAAAATCTCAAGCTTTATTTATTGTTTTATCTAGTCCATCAAAGAAAATCTATAAAACCGCATTATCAGCCCTGAAAGCATAGAATACTATAATACATACATAATAGAACGGGGGAGTGGGCGGAGCTCGCGTAGCCACTAAAATGTCACTAACAAATCAATCTACACGTATAAATGTCAACACGAGATGTGTTTTGACGTTACAATCGCTTACAAATTTGGCATGTAAATTATTTAAAAAATGCCAAATTGCACCCTAATTAAAAATGAAAATATGATATGTATTACTTTTTTTTGATTTTGTATTTTTTTTTAATGATGATCTTGAACATTAATCAAAAGTCTAAAATCTAAAATAAAGTTGACAACCATTCTATTGTATATTATCGTATTCTATGCCTGAAAGTATTTGTGATTTATTTTCAATAATGTAAAAAGAAGACTTATTTTGTTGATTTAAACACTCAGCGTTGTATTTTTGTGTGAATCGATAAGTTTCGTGAACTGTATTTAAATGACTGGAAGTAATCAAGTTTATTTCTTGAATAAAGCTCAATGTTCTAAATTTTCTTTTAATGTGAAACATTTACTTCTCTATATCACGTTATATTAATATAATTGCTAGATGGTAAAAATGATATGCGATCCACATCCACCGCAGTGATCAGCAAGAATGTAGTGCTCATTGAAATACTGAATATATTCAAATAAAACCACGACATTCCTTTGACTGAAACATTTTTAATTCTTTTACATAATGTTTTACCTCATATTATTTTGATATATCCTTGTTGCACAATTTTACTTTGACAATTATCACGACTCCAACGATGAAGACCACACAGCACAAAGCAATTACAACGGGTAATAGAATACTGACCAAATTCAGTGGCATTAGCATTCGATTTCTCAGCATATCCACCAATTCTTCTGGTAATTCAATGCCCTGTAATCAAAATAAATCTTTTACAAAAAAAGTGTATAAAAGACCTTTGTATCTTACCACATCTGGGGGAGATGCCGAAAAAATGGGTTTCTTTCCACCGGCAAGTAACTAAATTTTGAAATTAGACTTTTCTTCCGCATATTAATTATTTCAATTAAAAATAAACTAACCATAAAAAAATTACATGATATTACCTACAAAATCTCATAAAAATGTTTATTTTAGATATCCCAAACATGTGCCGAATTACAAATTGTTCATAAGTGACTAATTTAGTCAAAAACAAGGGATAAAACCGGATTTTTTTTTAACTTGCAAATCCCTTTTTAACAGGTTTTATAGTGCAGCGCGCACCTCCACTCTTAAACCTAAGCTTAGAATTAGTTCAGTATTTCCATTCATTGTGTTGTGTGATGATACGCATTTCATGTTCTTGAAAGTTTTTAAGGACTCGCGTCGCGTCCTTGGCATTAGTGAGCGATGATCACTAATGCCAAGAGTTTCCTAGTATCTCATTCATTCATAACATTCTGCACCAATTCTTCTTCGATTTGGTAAAAGAAATGATAGCCCGTCAAAGTAACAAAAAAAAGTTAATAAAGTCTACGCTTCTCGATCGCTTCACTTTGGTAATGCTCATTTTCAAACTGGAAACCGACTGGCGCTTCATTGCGGGGTCGTATTGTTAAATCCAAAATTTAACGAATGTATTTAATGTCACGAACACTCCCGAGATGAGACTGTTTTAAGTTTAGTAATCATGTGACGGCACTTCCACGCGGGCCTGCTTCTGAGTATCGTTGAAGTTGTGCGGCAACTAACGCGAAACTATCCTGAAAGCCACCGCTGAAAGGAGTCAGCTCACCTTGGAATACGCTGATTGCCTTAAGTGATTGACTCTCATGGAAAGGCCAGCTAAGAGGCTTATTGGGGACTTCCAACTGATTAAGGCCAATCTTGCTAGTCTCAAGTACAGGTATAAAATAGTTAGCCTTATGGTGTTTTACAGGATAGAATTTTATAAGTGTGCGCAGGTATTGAGTAACTTAATTCCTCTTGCCTTCCTCCAACGGACATTCAGATGCACGATCAATTGAACACGATTCTTTTGTTGTCGACATACCATCTACCCATGTACGCGATTTCGAACGACGAAGAAAACCGTATGTTTCGACCATACGGTTTTCTTTGTTGTTCGTATTGGTACAGAAATGAAGTGGAATAATTTGCTAGCATCTGTCTTTTCTTCCAATGTGGTTGTTTTCAAGACAATAGTGAGTATGTTACGCTAAGACAGTGTGCTTTTACTATCTTCATTTACATTCCTGCTCACCATCAGGTTTCAATTCTTTCATCATCATTTCCGTCAAACTGGAAATATACGGCTTAGAGTAATACCATGAATACCGAATATCTGGCTACGCTCTTAGCCGCAGCGGTCCGACGCCTCGATCGGCAAAAGTTTTCGGGGATTCGGGAAAAGGGGATTTTCGCGCATGTCCCGTCGAAAGCACTGATCCATTTTTTGATATAGAGATACAAAGATAAGTTTTAACATTAATCAGATCACACTTCGTTATCTAATCACCACCTATACTACTAGTCAAAGTCAACAAAATCTAAGAAATATATTTTGACAGCTGTCTGACTTTTTGCACCAAGCATGGCAACCAAAAATGGGAACGTAAAATATTCGATTCTTAAAAAAAAATCTATATCGCTTATTTAGAGTTGGTGATCACTTACAATTTGTTTTGTATAAAACCAGAATACATTTAAAACGGATAATTTAAAACACAAGAGTTATCAGTTTCTTCGTATTTGTTGTTACTGCTTGTTTCTAGAGGAAAAGTTATAAAATTTTAAGATTGAAACTAGATTAAAAATATAGTTATTCAATCACTAAACTACAACTTGTTAGTTGAGTTGTTTTTGTTTAGATTACTTATTATTTGATTTTCAATAATGCAGTCAAAATTAATGTCTATTTCAAAGTCATCCACAATAATTTCTTTTTTGATTTTTCTACCACTTTTGCCAACTCATTATTTGTGACATGGGCACATGCTTCAACAAATATAGAAGAAACAGTCCAAAAAGTTGAATCCGAGTCACAAAAAAGCAGACAAACATAAAATCAAAAAAAAAAATTACACGCAGTAAGCTCCCGAAAAGCGGAAGAAAGAAATTACGTTGTGTTTTTTTCTTATATGAGCTTTTTTGCCTACACAAATTTGCGTTGACAAAGTAAAAAAAATTAACTTGTCATTGTCATTCATGTAGTTTAAGAAATTTTAAAAATAAAATTAATGATTTGATTATTTGAATATTTTTACCGATTATTTTAATATTTTTGCCGATTATTCGCATAACAGTGAATTTTAATCTTAACACAATCAAAAACACTAGAAAAGTTGATACTGGTTATATTTTTAATATTTTGCTTTGTTTGAAAGATTCGAATTCAAATTAGTGATAAAAAACTATACAAGTTGTAATGAATAGATAACATAATTCTTCAGATTTACGTAAAAGGTTATTTTAAATCGTGTGAGTACGCTTGTGCAAAGTTATTGCGGAAAGATTAATGTGAAATGTCAAAATGTATTTCTTAGAGTTGGTTGAATATAATTATGAATTATGCGTAATAAGGGTCACCTTATTGAAAATCCTGAGCTCACATTTACTAATGGACTCGAGTCTAATTATAACATCCACTGATTATCTTTACATATTATAAAATATAGCACAGCGAAAGCCGTGGCTTAAAGGTTCAAGGCTCCGACTGCAAATCTGTAGATCGAGAATTTGAGGCTAGGCGAGCGTGCAAAATTTTAAATTTTGTTCTAACTATCTCACCACGAGAAATATTGAGTTGAATTACCCAATTTATTGTTCTCAATTTACTGTTAAATCTCAAATGTATTCTATAATTTTTTATTATTTAATTTATAATCATACACTCAATGATATCCGTTGTTAAATTAGTTATTATTTGATTAAATCAATATTATTTCTCGTTCTAATAGTTAATAAAAATGCGTGTGAAAATATTGCGTTTGAAGAAAATACTTTCAATCATTACTACTACCCACTATCTGATGACGTCGAACTTCCCACATATAATACGAATTACAAAAGAAACAACGAGTCGATTGATGAGTTCTTCACGGAACGAGAAAAGAAGAAAATTAAAACAAAAAGATCGTCAACAGTGGGTCGTTCGAACAAAAACTCGATTACCTAATGTGTGTCAAATAACACATATGATGATACAGTCGCTACGCATCTTATAAAAATAGAGGTGTACAAACTCAAGAAGTTGGGGAATGTGGACCAGTCTTCATAAACAATTTTTTGCGCTGGGAACTTCTGCCTTTTCTAATATTCAATGTCTGATATAGAGTGTGTTCGTGCATTTTTTTATCATCTTTTGATGATGAGAATGACTTAGATTATTCCTATTTCGACAATATGTTACATGAAAACTGTGAAATGGTAGGAACAGTGAATACCACTAAAAATAGTTTTTGATTCGTATTTTGATAAATATCTCGTGGATAGCTGTGAACAAATTGAACAAAATAACGCTCTTTACTTTCCTTCAGTATATTTTAATAGAGTTCATATGCCTATAAATATAATGAATATTTTGTTTTGTCTTGTTTTGTCAACGTAATTATGGTAGAGGTTTAAAACGGCATGCCGAAAATAATCTTAATAATAATGAAAAGAGACGACCGGAAGAGCCACCGACTTCAAGATATATTGAACTTTATTTTGTATGCAAATTTTTACAACTAATTAATTTTTGATTTTTAAACCCAGATTTATATTCTTAATGAATCTGAAGAAATTCATATCAGAAGATATTCATTAAATCACTAAAATAAACTTTAACGCACAGAGTGAAGGAATTCGAGAAAAAAGATAGTGTAAGTAATAATGTAGTTGTAGTCATAAGGATATAGTTAGTTAAGATTTAAATATAAACAAATTTAAACCATTTTACAAAAATCGAAGCACTGAGTCAACATCAAACTTCTGATTATGCTCAGCTCATATTCGCACTGAATTACCCAGTTCAAATGCCTTTAAAAAAGATTGGTTCAGTGAAAATATTTCTAAGGATAAAATTTATTTTGATAAATAGGATAAATAAGAGGGTTCCTTTCGTAATTTAAGCTGACTTTAAATCTTTTAAAACCAATTGCCTCTTGTTCTGCTGATCCTCATAAATCATCAACCACAAATATTCAGAGATATGATGTGTACAGTTTCGGATATTATATTAAATGTTTATTTGATGATAATCTTTCTAAGTATGTAACATATAGCGAAGAAAATTGTTCTGATATATTTATGAATAAATTTCAAGAACATTTAAAAATCATAGGTATGAAAAATTTCTTTAGAATTGCTCCGCTCCCTCGCGCCCTTGAAGATAAAAAATCTGTAGAAGAAGCCTCAGTATCTTATGTATTTGAGAAAGATTTATCTGATCCTTATTCTGACCACGCATGGTAAACGGGACCTTTTAGTAGAGTATCCCACGAAATATTTAGTAAAAAGGTTGATAAAATATATATTCTACCTCTAATATTACACAATCTCAGTAATTACGATGCTCATTTTATTGCACATGCTTTGAATTTTGATGACGGGGAATCACAAATAATTCCTCAAAGTAAAGAAAAATATATTTCGTTCTCCAAAGTTCTTAACAGATTTTGATAAAATAGGTAGTATTCGAGGTGGTGTATCTCAATGTAGTAATCGGTATACTAAGGCAAATAATCCCTATATTTTCAAATGAATGAACCCATTTCTTACATTAGAAGTAGATTTAGCTTATTTTCATAATATCCATGACTCTTATTCAGATTATCCACGAAAACAAAGTTAAGTAGTCCCATTTTAAAATTCAGGCAAAGGCCATGGTTGAATAAATATATAGGGATTTATACACATTTACGTACATTGGCAACATCTGAATTTGA